AAAGATTCTTAAAAGAAGGGCTGGCATTGTGATATATCAGGTAAAGCTGCCACCTGTAGTGCCGGCATCCTATATAGGTGCCGGTTCTAGTCCTGGCTGCTTCACTTGCAATCCAACTCTCTGTTGTGGCCTGGGAAAGCAGTGGAGGATGGCCCAAGTCCTTGGGTCCCTGCGCTGCATGGGAGAACTGGAAGAAAGTCCTGGCTTCGGATCAGCCCGGCTCTGGCTGATGTGGCTATTTGCAGAGTGAACCAGCAGAGGGAAGACCTCTCTTTCTGCCCCTGCCTCTCTGTAACTCTGCCTTTCAAGTAAATAAATAAACCTTTTCTTAAAAAAAGCCAGAGAAAAATAATGCATCATTTAATTGAACAATGATTTGAATGACAGGATTTCTCATTAGAAATAAGGGAGTCCAAAAGGAAATGGAACATTTTTTAAATGCTGGAGAAAAAAAAATCTTTCAACCGATAATTCTACATTTAGCAAAAATTATAGGTATTAAAAGTGAAATAAGGGACTGGCATTGTGGCACAGGAGGTTAAGCTGCCACTGTGATGCCGGCCTCCCATATCAGAGTGCAGTTCAAGTCCCAGCTCCTTTGCTTCCAATCCAGTTCCTTGCTAATGGCCTGGGAAAGCAGCAGCAGATGTTTGGGCCCCTGACACCACATGGGAAACTTGGATGGTGTTCCTGGCTTCTGGCTTTGGCATGGCCCAGCCCCAGCTGTTGTGGGCATTTGGAGAGTAAACCAGCAGATGGAAGATCTCTCTGTTTCTCCCTCTTTCTCTGTAATGGACTTTCAAGTAAATGAATCTTTTTTTATTTTTAAAAGAGAAAGGTGAAACAAAAACATTCTCAAGTAAAGGAAAAGCCGAGACTGCATCATGAGTAGATCTCTTCTAAAAGAATTGCTAGAGTGAACATTTCAGACATAAAGAAGTGGCGCCAGAAGGAAACTAGCAACATCAAGGAGGAAATGGTAAATAATAAAAAAATGCATACATGTGTAATAGACTACTCTTTTCCTCTTAAACTCTGTAGAATATGTTTGAGGCCAAAAAGGAAAAAAATCTTACCTTGTTGGAGTTTTCAGTTTGTAAATATAATACCTAAGAAGACTGCAGTGTAAAGGGGAGAGGGTAAAGGGACCTCTGGTACTGAGATTACTACATGTCACTTGAAGTTGTAAAATTAACCTCAGGGTACTATAGAAAGTTAGGTGTGTACAGGGTCTTCAGAAAGTTTAAGGCCAATTCTCATCTCTTAATTTGAAGCCCACCTGTGTGTTGTAAGCCTTAGAGAAACAAGTGAAATACTGTAAAAAGAGATAGAAGAATACTAAAAGATATTCATATAATCTGAAAGAAGGCAGGAAAGAGGAAGCAGAGGAAGGAAAAATAGAGAGGCCAGAAAGAAAACAAATAATAAAATGTTTGCTCTAAGTCCAAACATATAACTAATTATATTAAATATAAATAGTCTAAACTCATAAATTAAATGACAGAGATTATGAGACTGAATCAAAAAACATCCTCAACTCTGCTGCCTATAATAAATTCATTTTAAATATGATAATATATATGTTAAAAGTATATACTATGCACACATTAATCAAATGAAAGCTGGATTGGCTGTATTAGTGTCAGACAAAATAGACCTCAGAACAAACAAAATTACTGGGGAAAAATAGTGAGCTACCTAATAATAAAAGGACTAATTCAATAAAATGTAATAATTGAAAAAATGTGGATGGATCTAACAAGGTAGCTTTCAAATACACAAAACAAAAACTGGTGGTCCAAAATGGCTAAGCCAACAATTAAAATTGGAAGCTTTAACGTTCTCTCTTAGTAGTTGATAGAATTAATAGACTTAAAATTAGTAAGGATATAAAGGAAATGAACAGGACTATCCTCCATCTGTCTCTAATAGATACTTAAAGAATATTCATTCTTTTCAAGTATATCACTCATCAAAATAGATTGTATTTGGGGCCAGCACTGTGGCGCAGCGGGTTAACGCTCTGGCCTCAAGCGCAGGCATCCCATATGGATGCCGGTTCGAGTCCTGGCTGCTCCACTTCTGATCCAGCTCTCTGCTATGGCCTGGGAAAGCAGTAGAAGATGGCCCAAGTCCTTGGGCCCCTGCACCGTGTGGGAGTCCTGGAAGAAACTCCTGGCTCCTGGCTTCGGATTGGCCCAGCTCTGGCCGTTGCAGCCATCTGGGGAGTGAACCATTGGATGGAAGACCTCTCTCTCTCTCTCTCTGCCTCTCCTCTTTCTGTGTAACTCTGACTTTCAAATAAATAAATAAATCTTTTTTAAAAATAGACTGTATTCTATTCTGATCATGGGACAAAAATGAACAAAACTAAAATAAATTTAAATCATATAAAATATGTGCTCTGGCTAAAATGGAATTAAACTAAAAATTGATGACAGAAATACAATAGGAAACTCTCTAAGCACTTCTAGATTAAAAAACATAGTTTTATGGGTCACAAAGGAAATCTTAAGGGCAATTAGGAAACATTTTTAAAAGATTTTTTTACTTATTTGAGAGGTGGAGTTACAGACAGAGGGAGAGACAGAAAGAATGGTCTTCCATCCATGGGTTCACTCCCCAAATGGCCACAATGACAGGAGCTGGGCTGATGTGAAGCCAGGGAGCCAGGAGCTTCTTCCAGGTCTCTCTCCCACATGGGTACAGGGGCCCAAGTACTTGGGCCGTCTTCCACTGCTTTCCCAGGTGCATTAGCAGGGAGCTGGATCAGAAGTGGAGCATCCAGGACTTGAACCAGCACCCATAAGGGATGTTGGCGCCACTGGTGGTGGCTTAACTTGCTATGCCACAACACCGGCCCCTGTGTGTGTGGTTCTTATGTTTAGAATTATCTATAGATAGTAATTTATCTTATCATTTGAATTTTCTTATACTTTATCATTTTTTATTATATTTTATCATTTGAATTTTCTCCATACGTTCATCTGTTTTGTCATCATCTCTCAGTTCTTTACAGTGAGAAAGGGTCGTGTTTCTACTTCCTCCCTGCGTGTCCCCTGCTGTCCTCCACCTCCCATTAGCCAAGTCTCACTTCTGGGGGATTATATTTGTGTAATTGGATGTCCTAGGTCTCTGTCCCTTGATTGCTCAGCTTTGGGTAACGTCTTTGGTTCCTGGCTCTTACACATGACACAATCAAGGAATGTTCTCTGCTTGACGTCGTTCTTTCTACGTTGGTGCTAGTTGTCTTGTTTTTGTGTTACAAAGGCACATGGAATTGGCACCCTGACCTCCACTCCAAGCTCCATTTGCGTTCAGCCATAGCTCCACAGGTGCATGTTAATATGTGTTAATATGTCATATAGAGTCATATGTATTAATATGTAATGTGTGTAATATGTATTAATGTATGATGCATATATAATGTGTGTGTAATGTGTACATAGAAACTGAATGTACTTATAGTTAGTCTTGCCATTTGTTCTTTTGCTATGGTTTCCTTAATCATCTTTTCTTTGACTGAAGTTTGTTCTCTGGGTTCGTGGGAACACTGTTCCTTAAGTCCTTGTGTGTTCAGCGCCAGTCTTCTTGGTGCAGCGGTGCTGGGGAGGTTTCTCACGGAGGCTTTGTTGGTGTCCATTCTCCTCTCCCTGTCTCTGCTGGGTCGACCCCTGTGTCTCCTGCTTCTACCCGGTCCTCCAGGGGAGGCCTTTCCCCACACTGACTGTTTTTGCTGGCATGCTCGGGCACCTGCCTCCAGCCCAACCCCACAACAGCTTGGGTTCCTCTGCCCCACAGGGTCTGCGTCTGTCTGTTTTTGGTAGCATTTGTCCTTTGTGGCTTGTTTTTTGGGATTGTTTTATTTACCTCTAGTTTCACGAACAATGAAGTTTGCTTTGTTGTGTGCTTGTTCTGATGCTATTGAATAGAAGAGGCAAAGAAAGTAGTGTCTTGATTAGACAGAAAGTCCTTTGACTTGGTGACATGACAGTATAATAGCAAAGAATATGGGCTTTGAAGCGGATGCACCAGCTTCTGTTCTTCTTTTTTTTTTTTTTTAAGAATTATTGTATTTATTTGAAAGACAGAGCTACAGAGAGAGGCAGAGACAGAGAGAGGTCTTTCATTCTGCTGGTCCACTCCCCAAATGACGGCAACAGCCAGAGCTGAGCCGATCCGAAGCCAGGAGCCAGGAGCTTCCTCTGGGTCTCCCACGCAGGTGCAGGGGCCCAAGGAGTTGGACCATCTTCTTCTGCCTTCCCAGGCCATAGCAGAGAGATGGATCAGAAGAGGAGCAGCTGGGACTTGAACCAGTGCCCATGTGGGATGTTGGTGTTGCAGGCTGGGACCTTTAACTCACTGCACCACAGCGCCCTCCAGCTTCTGTTCTGAACTCTGCCACATACTGCCTGATAAGAGATCCCTCCCCTTGTTTGATCTCTCATGAGTGTGTCACGCGTGTGAGCAGTGAGGTATGCCGTGTGATAGCTGGGGGTCCAGCCTGGGTGTGGCCTGTAGGAGGTCTTCACAAGGGTGCCGGGAGAATGCTCTTTTACTTCTGTTCCAGTTACTTTACCCTCTCTGGTTGCAGGCATCCTGTTACTGCCCTCCCCCACGTAACCAGTGGGTGCTCCCTGAGGCTGGGCTCTGGCACTCCCCACGTTGCCTGCAGTTCTGTCCAGGGCTGTTGGTGCCACAGGAAAAGGACAAGGACAAAGTCACTGCTCTGGGAGTCCTGGGGAGAGGCCCCTGAGGGCTGGAGGCTGGGAGAGCCCATGAGTGGGGCCTTTCGGGAAAGGCTGGAAGGGCCAGAGTGGGGCCTGGGTGCTGGGTGTTCCCTAGTCTAGACTCTGGGGCGAGGAACTGGGGTTTCCTCATGTGCCTGTGCCCTAACCCCAGTAGGCCCGAGGCCTCTAGCAGGACGGTTCTGGTGCCACACTGGGCGAGATCCTAGCATGCGAGTTGTTCAGCTCTTGCTTTTGTCCCTGTGTCTGCAGGTCCCGGAGTCCCAGGCAACCACAACTGCAGCCACCCTGGCCGGCGGCAGCTCTGGTGTCACCTCCATTGGTGGTGGTGGCACCTCCAGAAGCCATGACGTCATCGAGCCCATGGACACAGACACCCAGGCTGGGGGGCCATCATCTGCTGACCAGAGAGCCGGAGGCGAGCAGGATCAGCAGTTGAGGGGAGAGATGCAGGTGGAGGGGAGGCCTTGGGCTGACGGGGCACAGAGAAGCCAGAGGACACAGGCAGAGGGGGAGATGCAGGTGGAAGTTGTAACCCAAGAAAGTGCGAGGCCACAGTCAGTCGAGAGCTCCCAGAGGGGTGTGGTGACACAGGCAGAAAGGACACAGGCTGGTGAGAAGACTCAGGAAGGCACACAGATGCGGGAAGCAAAGGGGACACAGTCAGGGGGGAGCGCAGCCGCAGCCACGACGGGGCAGCTGGAGCCGCCGTCCGTGACCAGCCTCAGCCCACCGGCCGCAGCCCCTCAGCTCCCATCTCCGGAAGGGCCGAGGCCTCCTCAGATCACCGGAGGCTTTGCACAGACCCCAGCAGGGTCTCGTGTCCCAGAGGAACCTGGTTTCCTGCTCAGACCCGAGGAGGCAGCAGTACCGGCCCCAGAGACCCATAAAGAAACACTTACTCTCCCCGCCCAGCCACCTCCCGGGGGGAGCTTGGAGCAGAAGGGAGGAGAACGAGGGTTCCCCTGCCCCACGGAGGCACAGCCAGGCGGCATGCTGTGTGTGGACCTGGGGGGCTGCCCTGCAGCTGGCCCGAGCCAGGAGGGGCCCAGTGTGCCTTCTCCTCCGGGGATGGGCCCCACCAGCAGCCCACGGGAGGGGCTGCCCAGCACCCTGACAGCTCAGCACAGGGGCACAGCTGCCATCCAGCCCTCTGCAGACCAGGCCTTGCCGAGTTCTGCCCCCACTCTGCACCTGGGGCCGGGGCCCCCTTCCCAGGGTCACCCATCAGAAACTCTGGGCGCCAGCAGTGAGGGGGCCTGCGCCAAGACACCGCCCGGGGAAGGGGGGACCTCAGGGCCCCGCAGCTGTGACCCTGGCCTCATCGACTCCCTGAAGAACTACTTGCTTCTGCTGCTGAAGCTGTCCAGCGCCCAGACGAGCGGGGCCGGGGCAGAGGCTCAGGAGGGCACCGCGGCGGGCGGTCTGGCCGCCCCGTCCACTCTGGCCCCCACCGTGGAAGTGGCTGGGCTGAGCCCGCGGACATCGAGGCGCATCCTGGAGCGCGTGGAGAACGACCACCTGGTGCAGAGCGCGCAGACCCTGCTGCTGAGCCCCTGCACCTCCCGCCGCCTCACCGGCCTCCTGGACCGCGAGGTGCAGGCTGGCCAGCGGGCCCTGGCTGCGGCCCAGGGCTCCCGCGGCCCAGGCCCCAGCCCGCTCACTGTCCCCGCCATCGTGGTAGGTGAGGAGGAGGGCACCCGGCTGGCCTCCGAAGGACCCAGCGAGGGGGAGGGAGAGCTGTCCCCTGAGGGGCCTGGTGGGCCCCTGGGGCAGGCAGCCTCTGGGCAGGGACTGCTCTCGGCAGGGGGCGGGGCCCAGGAGCCCTTCCAAGAGGACGAGGTCCCAGGGGAGGCTCTGACAGACCTGCCCGCAGCTACCCCTGAGGAGCTGGCGCTGGGGGCCCGGAGGAAGAGGTTTCTCCCGAAGGTCAGAGCAGCAGGAGACGGGGAGGCAGCCAAGCCTGAAGAGAGAGAGAGCCCCACAGTTTCCCCACGGGGATCCCGGAAGAGCCTGGCACCTGGGTCCCCGGGGACTCCGGGGCGGGAGAGGCGCTCTCCTACCCAGGGCAGAAGGGCGGCCATGCTGGAGGTGCCACGGGCAGAGGAGGAGCCGGCCCTGGGCTCCGGCCCCAAGGCCAGTGGTGCGGACACAGAGCTGGGCCCGGATGAAGGCCGGCAGGAATCTCTGGCCAAGCCCAGGAAAGCCCAAGACCAGCTCAAAGGTGAGCCACAGGGAGGGCAGGGCACGCTTCGGGGTGGGGGCTGCCAAGAAGCAGTGTCTGGACGCCTACCTTGTGAAGACGTTCTTCACTGTCATCTGCGAGCTCTGCAATCAGAGGCGCCTGGGCCTGGGTCTCGCCTTGGCCCCGCCACCCTGTGAAAGGGGGCAGTGAGGCATCAACTTCGTGAAATGGGTTGGGTTGCATGGGAGGGAAGGGGCCAACAACTTGGGGCAAGCCTGGCTTCAGTAGCATCTGGGTCGTGGCCACAGCCCCTCATTGGACTCCTCCCACGGCTACAGGGCCGTGGGGCAACTGGAGCTCCTGGTTCACTACCCTGCTTCTGTGGGCCAGGAGCACGCACTCGCTGTGAGCGAGGACCAACTGAAACGTGCTCGACATGGGAGGGCCGTGGCGTGATTGGGGTGAGACTTGGCCTGGCCCACCAAGGCCCCCCGGGGAAGCAGGGCTATGGCAGGGCGGACCCAAGGAGGAGGGCGGTGGCTTCTCCCTCTCACCTCCGCTCTGGCTCCTGCCAGCCCCCCAGGTGATCCGGAAGATCCGGGTGGAGCAGTTTCCGGATGCCTCCGGCAGCCTGAAGCTCTGGTGCCAGTTTTTCAACATCCTCAGTGACTCGGTCTTGACATGGGCCAAGGACCAGCGCCCAGTGGGTGAGGTGGGCAGGAGGTAAGCCGCGTGGGTACAATGGCTGGCTGACCGGGCTCCCTATTAGGGTGATCGTGTGGGTTACTGCCCTAGCACTTGGAGGCCATCACCTTTAATCCTCACAATAGCCCCAGGAGGGAGACTCCCTTATTCCCATGGGAGAGATGAGGACGCTGAAGCCCAGAGCTCTTAGGTCACGTACCGGAAGTCTCACAGCCAACAAGTGTCAGGGCTACAGACCAGATCAGCATAATTCAGGACCAGCTCCTACCGCTCCCCAGAGCCCCCAAGCGCCTGGGTTCAGAGCAGCCCCTGAGTAGGGTGGAAGGACTGTTGGGCCCGAGGTGTGGCCCGTGCCGCCCGCAGGCTCTCACAGACGGATCTCACTCTCTGCAGTGCCGGGGATGAGGGGCCGGCGGCCCTGGCCATCGTGCAGGCGTCCCCTGTGGACTGCGGTGTGTACCGATGCACCATCCAGAACGAGCACGGCTCGGCCTCCACTGACTTCTGCCTCAGCCCCGAGGGTGAGTGTGCACAGCCGCCCGCCTGGCCCCCAGGGGCGGGCAGCAGCCACGGGCAGGGGGGGGGTCACTCCCAGGGCAGGGCAGCCTGGGGCAGCTGCCCTCTTTCCTCTTCTCTCGCAGTGCTGTCTGGATTCATCTCCCGAGAAGAAGGTGAAGGTACGGTGGTGCCCCCTGGGGAGGCGGGGTGGTGCTTCTTCCCTTCATCCCTGCCGAGCCTGCCCAGGGCCCCCGGGCTCCCTGGACTCACACAGGAACTGCTGAACGTGCGCTTTCTTAACGCCTGCTGCAGACGGCTGCGACGTCCAGGTCGGGCCTAGGACTGCTGCGTTTTAGCAGGCTCCCTGGTGATGGTGAGGTGCCTGGCATTTTGTTTTAAACTTTGAGCGATTTTTAAAAAAGGTTTGTTTCTTTTCATTTACTTGAAAGGTCAAGTGCCAGAGAGAGAGCGAGCGAGAGAAAGAGCTTTTATTTGCTGGTTCCCTCCCCAGCTACAACGTCAGGACTGGGCCAGGTCAAAGCCAGGAGCCAGGACCCATGTGGGCTGCAGGCCCGAGTCCTGAGCTATCACCCGCTGCCTGCCAGGGAAGAGGAGGAAGCTGAACTGCGATCAGAGCAGCCAGGACTTCAACCAGGCACCCGGCTTGGGGCGTGGGCATCCCGCACGGCTCAGCCCGCCGTTAGCGGCAGTCTGTCATGGGCCTGCAAGGCTCCCACTGAGGCGTGGGCCCGGGGAGGCAGCCAGCAGTAGACATATTCTTAGTTTCATTGCTAACAAATGCATCAATGCCCTCATTCACTCACTCATTCATTCATCCAACTAGTACCTTTTGTTCAGTTACCAAATAAAAACTTAAATCTCTATCAAATATAACCTCACCCCTAAAAACTTAGTAACAGTTCTGTAATATCATCAAATATCCAGTCAAAGCCTCCCCAGTTGTCCCAGGTGCGTTGGCTTATTTGAATCAGCAGCCGCTCACTGCTTTGGCCTCATGTGTGTCCGAAGTCTCTCGTAGTTGTAACAGTCCCTCCTCCCTCGCCAGTTTTCTCTTCGCTGTTTATTTGTTGCAGTCACTTGATGTGTAGAATTTCTATGTTGTGGGTTTTCTTGGCTATATCCCCATCTACCGTTGGTAACCGGATGCAGAGGTTTGGTCAGCCTCAGCTGCCCTTCCTCGTTGGCCAGGATAGTTCACAGGTGTGCTGGGATGTCATTTGCTCCTATCTGGAGGCACATGCTGTTCGTCTGGTTGATGCTAAGATTGCGCGCTGTGTTTACTTCAGGTGTTCTGCACGATCCACCCTTCCCAAGGTTAGAAACCCCTAAATCAACTCGTGTGTAATCCATTACTTCACGAAGGGTGACATCCATTTTAATTCCTTCCTTTCTTTTACTAAAATTCTGTCATTATTAATTTATTCTATCCTCCTTCCGTAAATGACTGCTTATTTGGTTCTCTGGTGTGTACGGTTCCGACAGAGAAGGCAGGGTGAATACTTCCTTACTTGTTCTTTCTCGCTTACTTTCTGGAGTTCAGAATAGGGATTGGAGGCCCTGGCGCTGTCCAGAGGTGACCAGTGGGATTTGAGGTTTGCTTGAGGGAGGACTGGGTTTTCTACAGATGCCTGTATGGACACGTGGATCTGGTGTGTGCACTCCATCAGTACTGCCTCTTTGTTGCTGAGATTGTCTCACTGTGGCCTCCTGTTGGCTCCTGTGTCTTTTGTCTCCATGCTTTCTGGTCTCACACGATGTCTCAGCCCCATGCTGTGCACCTCCTGCCGAGATCTGGAGTCAGCCCTTTCTTTAGGGACCCTTTAGTGGGAAATGGTACTTAGCGATCAGAGGGGTGCTCGCTCTGCTGGATTTGTCCCGCAAACTGTGTTTCTGTCGAATGTGTTGGTTCGGATGGAATCAGCTATTCATTTTGTCAAAACACCCAAATCTGAAACAGAATCGTCCTGGCGTCCTGTATTGATTGCCGCTGCCAGAGAAAACCCTTGTCTTGCCAGAAGCTCGCCGAGCACTGATGGTGTGGTGGGTCCCACGCAGTGCTGTGGCAGGAGGAGCAGGTGCGGTTTCTGCTCCAAGGGGCCCCAGGAGACAGGGTGCTCGGAGTGCACACCCGGCGAGCAGCCACGGCCGGCAGGGCAGGGGGCCGCCACGCTCTTCCTTCCCTGCGACCCCAGGGCGGCCAGGCAGGGCAGGGGGCCGCCACGCTCTTCCTTCCCTGCGACCCCAGGGCGGCCAGGCAGGGCAGGGGGCCGCCACGCTCTTCCTTCCCTGCGACCCCAGGGCGGCCAGCAGGGCAGGGGGCCGCCACGCTCCTCCTTCCCTGCGACCCCAGGGCAGCCAGCAGGGCAGGGGGCCGCCACGCTCTTCCTTCCCTGCGACCCCAGGGCGGCCAGCAGGGCAGGGGGCCGCCACGCTCCTCCTTCCCTGCGACCCCAGGGCGGCCAGGCAGCAGTTTCTGGTTTCCCACCTTTCCCTGTTCCCCTTCAGTTGGCGAGGAGATTGAGATGACGCCCATGGTGTTTGCTAAGGGTCTGGCTGACTCCGGCTGTTGGGGGGACAAGCTCTTTGGAAGACTGGTGAGCGAGGAGCTCCGAGGGCATGGACGTGGGTGTGGCCTTCGGAAGGCCTCCCAGGCCAAGGTCATCTACGGGCTGGACCCCCTCTTCGAGTCGGGCCGCACGTGCATCATCAAGGTGTCCAGCCTGCTTGTGTTTGGGCCCAGCAGTGAGACTTCTCTCCTGGGAAGAAACTACGACGTCACCATCCAGGTATTCTCTCCCTGTCCTCTCTCGAGTCCTCTCCTTTCCCAGCCTGGATCCCTTTGGGAGACCCACTACGGAGGCAGAAGCCACGTCAGTCTCAGGCCTGTCGGGCTCCCAGGATGGTCCTAGAGGGGAGCCAGGCACGTGCCCAGGGTCCAGGCACTTGGCCTCCGAGAGCTTGTGCGTTTCCAAGCCTTTGGGCCACGGTTTTCCAACCTTCTTTCTCTTGGAAGTGTCCTCTTCCCTGCTCTCCCCAGAGCCATCCGAGGCACTGCCCCTACTAACAGAGCCCTAGAAAATGCAGTTCCGAAGCCGCTCTGCCAGCCTCTGCCTGAAAAGGCGCTCATGGCCCTCTGTTATACGAGAGAGAAAAGCAAGGCAGAGCAGGGCATGGGGGAGTCAGCCCTACGTCCTCCCTTGGCAGCCGCCATCAGTCCCCTGGCAGGTGACCTCCCCCTTAGAGCGCCTGCGCCAATCAGATTTGATGCCCTCTAACCCACAGGGGTGCAAGATCCAGAACATGAGCCGGGAGTACTGCAAGATCTTTGCAGCTGAAGCCCGGGCCGCGCCTGGCTTCGGAGAGGTGCCTGAGTAAGTACACAGGGAGGTGACACACGGTGTAGAAGCAGTGACCCCACGGCTCCCGGGGCCTCCTGCATGGAGGCCGTGTGCAAGGAGGCTCGGCAGCCCCACACAATCGAGGGACAGAGGCCGCACAGTTCACTCCTCACTTCAAAGAAGTCCCCGGTGGGTTTGATCTCACACCCACCCCACACCCCACACCCCACACCCCACACCCCACACCCCACACCCCACACCTATAAGCTCAGCTTTTGCTGACTGCCACAGCCTCTGGGCTCCGTGGAGGCAGGGGCCTGGGCTGAGCCAGGCGGACCGCTCGGGGTGCTTCTGTGCGCAGGCAGGGTCAGCGTGGGTCTGCAGGAGTGGGCTCTGCGCCGTGTGCTCCTTTCCCTCTGCCGTTCCCCGGTCTGCCAGGCCCTGAGCCATGGTCGGGTTCTGTAGAGGCATCGCTCCTGTGACACACACTGGCCTCCGCCCTCACCCAAGCTCAGAGTGTGCCTGGGCCACCACGGTGTTTGCTCCCCAGCCCACTGACCGCAGAGAACGGACAGGACTTGAAGCTGGCGGCCTCCGTTTCCCACCCTGACTGTGGGGGTGGGGAGTGTGGAGCTGCCTTCCTTCCTTGCTGTCTTTTGGGTTCAGAGCTGAGAAGCCCTTCTTGGAAGGGCTCTTGTTTTAGGGGCAAGAATACTGACTTGGGCTGGAGGGAAGCACCCTCTCGGCCGCCCTTGGTGCTCATGCAGGGTGAAACTGTGTTTAGGATCATCCCCCTGTATCTGATCTACCGGCCTGCAAACAGTATCCCGTACGCCACCCTGGAGGAGGACTTGGGCAAGCCCCTGGAGTCCTACTGCTCCCGGGAATGGGGCTGCGCGGGGCCTCCCGCGGCCTCCGGCGTCTCTGAGGCCGTGCAGAAGTGCCAGGCCTTCCAGCACTGGCTGTATCAGTGGACAAATGGCAGCTTCCTGGTCACAGACCTGGCAGGTACGAGGGCCGCGGGCGGGAGGGGCTCGGCGACGGGAGGTGTCGGTGGTCTGCAAGGCTTCACCTTGTGCAGTCGCCCTGTGCAGTGCACTGGACAGGGACCATCCCGCCTGTGGTCCTGACGCAGCCCAGGGTCTGGGCAGCCCAGTCCGCTCCAGCGCATTTAGAAGAGCCCGCTGCAGGCAGCTGAAAATTCAGAAGGCATTCATGTCAAACATCACATGGGATCGACTGCATAACGCACAACCCCCCTTTCAGTCTGCCCTGGACTTTCTCACACTCGCAGCCTCCCAGCCCTCTCCTCCCTCCTGGCTGGGGAGCTGTGCGGTCGCCCCTCCCCCTCCACCTGGGCTAGCTTTTTTAGGTTAACAACTTCATCTGACTTCTCTTTATTTTACTGAAATGTTCCCGTCACCCAGAAAGTCCTGCAAAGGAAGCCAGCAAGACTGAGTCCTCCCTGAACTAGTCCTCCCCAGGCTTTCTCTCTCTCTCTCTCTTTTTAATATTTATTTATCTATTTGAAAGGCAGAGTTACAGAGAAACAGAGAGAGAGAGAGAGAGAGAGAGAGATCTTCCATCCACTGGTCCCGGCCAGAGCTGGGCCAATCCGAAACTAGGAGCCAGGAGCTTCTTCAGGTCTTCCCACACAGGTGCAGGGGCCCAAGCGCTTGGGCCATCTTCTACTGCTTTCCCAGGCCACAACAGAGATCTGGATCAGAAGTGGAGCAGCCAGGACTCAAACCGGAGCCCATGTGGGATGCCGGCACCTGTAGTGCCGGCATCGGCTTCACCCCCTATGCCACAGTGCCAGCCCCACGCCTACTTTGTTTAACCATCACTCAGGAATGGAAACATGAAATGATGTCTACAGTGGGAGGAGAGGTTACTGGGTTATTTCATGTTATTCCATCTTGTTCCTGTGCCAAAGAATTGGGAAAACCAAGGGCTTAGAGATGCAAAACTGACTCCAGTAGGCCTTTTATGGGAGCTAGGTTCTGCAGTAATTATTGTGTCTACGGCTCCATATTTTGGGAGGCAGGGAAGCTGGTGACACACTAAGCCACTGTCATTCATGTATTAACTTATGAATTCATCCTTCTGCAGTCTAACCTGTACCAAATGTTGGCAAGAGAAAAAGGTGACAGGAAAAGTCGGGCTCAGGCATCTGGTCAGGCGGGTGGCAGGGGGCCTTTGGGGGCAGAGGATTCCACTTCTGACCACACACCCCGACCCGCCAATGCTGAGGCTCCTGGGTGGGCCGGCCCAATACCTGGGCAGCCTCCCTCCCACTCCCTCACTGTTTAGCCTGGCTGTTCTTCCAAGGCTAAAGGCCGTCCTGGCTCCTTGGCATGCTTGCGCGCTGCCTGTGTGGTCAGCGTGGAAGTCAGTCTCATCAGCGTCACGTTTCCGCAGTCAGCCTGATTTATCCTCGCATTCCTGTCTTCCTCCGTGTGTCTCTTGCCCAGACAGACTGTTAATCTGCTAAGAGGAAGGGGAGATTTTATCCCAAAGCCTGCGGCCATCCAGTGTGTGACCTGGTCTGCCCCAGTGGAGGCAGCCTTGCACGACTGGAGGAGATTGGCTCCAGGAGTCAGGAAAACTCAGCTGTGACTTGGATTCACAATGGCTCTGCCAGGCACCTGGCTCTGAACCCCCTCCTCGCCTGTAAAGCTGGGAGTATTCTTACTACTAAGAGGACAGAGGCCGGTGCACTGCCTGTGAGACCGGCGGTGGTGTGAGATGTGCCTTCACTGGGTCCTGGGGAGTTCTGGTCCAAGCTGATGTCTTTCTGAGACAGCGGAACCTGGAACCAGCCCAGGCTGATATCACCCCCACCCCTCTGTCATTCCAGGCGTGGACTGGAAGATGACTGACGTGCAGATCGCCACGAAGCTGCGAGGGTGAGTGAGCGCGTCTTCTGTCCTTGAAGGGTCTCTGGGTGTCAGACGTCCTGACTCGTGGTTCTGCAGCCCGGAGGGGCTAGCCTGGGGCCTGGTCACACCCGTGGTCCTGGGCTCACGTGCTGGAGGCCCGTGATTGCCCCCACCACGCCCTTGACCCTAGGTCAGGACTGGAAGCTGCGCTGATGCCCGCACACAGGGTGCTCTGAGGTTTGGCGCCTCCGCGTGCTGCCGAGCATCCTTCCCACTGGGGAGTGCTCATCACGGTGCAGACGAGCAAGGCCCGGGCCTGGGCTGCTGATCCGAGCCTCCTCCGGCGGCCGTTTGACATAAACCACGCTTACACCGGCAGGTGTCCTCACGAGGAGTCCCACGTGTCAGGGTGTAGTGAGACCTCCGTTGTAAAACTGAGGTTGGCGGTGCTGCCACCTGCAGTAGCACCTGGGAGAGACTCCACCCCCCTCTGGTGGGGTGGGAGGGACCCTGGGCACGACTCCCCAGTCAGCCCCCAAGGGTGGGACCCCACAGCGCTCTTCTTGTTCGGCTGCAGATACCAAGGCCTCAAGGAGAGCTGCTGCCCGGCCCTGCTGGACCAGTTTGCCTCCTCCCACCAGTGCAACACCTACTGCGAGACGCTCGGCCTCAAACCCCTCAAGGGCCCCGAGGCCCACCCTCAAGCCAAGGCCAAAGGCTCCAAGAGTCCATCTGCTGGCAGGAAGGGCCCCCAGCTGAGTCCTCAGCCCCAGAGGAAAGGCCCCCCTAGTCCCCAGGGCGCCCGCAAGGGTGCCCCAAGCTCCAAGGCCACCCTGCAGGCCTCAGAGGCAGCTGCCGCCCAGTTATTGGGAGAGCCTCCCGCTCAAGAGGGGGGCTCCAAGGCCCAGGGCATGCGGTAGCCCCACCAGGAGGCTGGGGGCCTCCACCCAGCAGCACACCAACCAGGAAGCAGCTTGAACCGGATGGAAACTTTCTCAGTACGGAACTAACCAGAGCAGGAGCACCGCGAGGCCCCGCTCAGGGCCTCCCTGGGCAGCCTCTCCTCACTCAGCTCCTCGTCAGGCGACCTCGGTGCATGGCACACAGCCCCCTGGCCTCTGCCAGTGCCATCGTCACTCAGGGCTCCCAGGCCTCAAGCGCCACCCCTCCCCCCGCCAAGTGCCTGGTGGCCGGGGCCCTCCTTGAAGTTTAAGTTTACAGTCACCACTGCTGGAGGCTCCCGAGTCCTCTGCATGAGTGCTCAGCCCACCCTCGCCCCAGCCCAGCCCTGCAGCCGGCACGGCCCCTCGGGCCCCGCGCCGCCCTGACCGCTCTCTGTCCTCAGGGCCCAGGCCTCCTCTGCTGGGTCTGGCCTGCTGACTCTCAGGGTGTCTCCTCATGGCTACTTGGTCTAATTCATTCTGGCTTCTCCTGCACTAACCTGCCCCTCAGCCCAGGTGGGCCTCAGGACCCTGGCGCGCGCGTGATCTTGGATGATGTGTGTTCCTGCCCCTCCTTCCCCGTCACTCGGCACGTGCTCGCCTGCTCCCCATGCTCCCCCCAACACACACACACACACACACACACACACAGCTCGGACCCCAGCTGCAGCCTGCCACCTGCCCTCACCAGCTCTTTGCTTGTCTTTTTGCCCAAGGCCTCCCCTGACCCTGACCCTGACCCCAGCCCCACCCACCACCACCCAGGTGAGGAACAGAGCCCCGGCCTCTCCTCGTATCTGAGCATGCTCTTGCCCGCTTCTTCTGGGCCCTCTGCTCGGCAGCTGAGAGCTGGCCTGAAGCTCACGTCGGCAGCTGTGGCCGGGAGGTAGCTGTGCCCATAGTGGAGGTGGTGGGGTCCCAGGACATTCATATCCCTCTCAACCAGGGCTGAAGGCCTGGGGCTCTCCCCATGGGCAGGGCGTATGGGTGCTCGGAGGGAACAACCCATCCGTGCACTAGGGTGCCAGGCCCCCTCTGTGCCCGCCCCAGCTGTCAGCTCTCAATCTTGGGGGCCCAGCTCTGAACCGTCACGGATAGGGGCTCCCAAGGAATTCTGCTCTGGGTCCCGAGCACACTCCTGGGGTCCTGGGGCGGGGTCGATCCTGAGCTAGCCTGCAATAAAGCAGCGACTGCGCATCTGCTTCCTCCTCCGGTGTGGTTTAGGTGTGTGGAGTCGAGGTCCCCTCCCCCTGCCCAGGCAGGCTCCCAGTGGGTGTCCTGCCGTCCCCGGGCCCCCCGGGAAGTCCCTTGGCTCTTGGGCTGAAGTTCAGCCTCAGCCTTCTCCGTCCACAGCTACACTCCACGCTGTGCACACACTGGGCGGGTGTCAGGTCTCTGGGCCTCGCGCCCTTGGCATTGCTCTTTCCCTGAGAGACGGACATTAAGGAAGGAGCCCAGGCAGGGAGAGCGAAGCCAGGGGCTCTGTGCGGACTCCCTGTGGCTCTGGCTGCCTCCACACCGGCCTCCCCTGCTTCTCCCCAGCCCCATGCCCCAGGGCCTTCCCTGGCCTGATGCTCCCTTCTCTACCTCCTCCTGTGCTCAGGTGACTCCCCACCCCGCCCCAGCATGCCCCCGACTTCCCCAGCCCACACATCCAGACCCTGAACTGAGAGCTGAATGCCACTCATTCATCCTCCCATCAGCCCCGCAGACCGACACTGGACGCCCTGGCTGGCGGCCACTGAGAAGCCACAGTGTGTGAGGCAGTCTCGGGAGGGAGTTACCTGCCTGCTGGTTTCTTGAGTCTTAAGCAGTAGAAATGTACCTGGACCAACTTAAGCGCGGAGAAGGGTCCGTGGGAGAGCTCACAGAAGTGGAAGCAGAGCTGAGCAGTCAGCCCTCGGAAGTGGGGCTGCCCTGGGGCCCCCCTCCGTGGAAGGTTCGCCTTCCAGGTGCGAATCTGGCCTGAAGCTCGAGACCTTGCGGAGGAGGCCAGAAGCCATTTTCCAAAGGCTGGAGATCCTGGCCAGAGAAGCGGTGGCCAGTGGAGGGGCAGAAAGGGTTTGGTGGACAAATGCCAAAGCCGCTGCCTCACATAGCAGCAAACACACACGCACCCTGCTCCCCCGTCTCAGGTGTTACTACTCCACGTGCAGCCCAGAACACACTCCTCTCCCAGGCAGCTCAGGGTCTTGTTCAGCAAAGCCCAGTGGTGATGATGGCCACTCTTCTCCAGAGTCCACCATCCCTGATGATAACCGTCCTCTTTTGTGAGGTTCTACAACCTGTGCGTTACTGGGGAAAGTGGACTGTAGTCAACCAAAACGATGGAGTGAGCCGGGGAGGAAGCGCTGGTCCTGGGCCCTCATTTGTGACCAGAGATCTGGGGCTTGTGGGAGGTGTCCAGCCCCAGAGTGCGCCCGGGTGCCAGGCACTCAGTCCCGGACATGGACATTCCAGGAGCCACTCCCGGAATGCCCGCCTGCCCGTCTCTGGTCCCGCCCCCTTCACACAGCAACAGGCATTCCTCTGGGCAGATTCTTCACCCCAGCTGCTCCCCGTCCTGTTCTCCGTCGCTCAGGGGTACGAGGTGGCCGCCTGGGCTGCCAAGTCAGGTGAACCGTCACTGTGTCTTCATGAGGACTCTTCCTTGGGGCCTAAAACCTCACCACCCCCCTGGCCCCAGACCTCCGGTGTGAGAAAGGCAGTGAGGCACGGTGACGGGACATCGGTCTCCGCACTGCCTCCCAGCCCTGCAGGGCGAAGGTGCCATGGGTCGGCTGCCAGTTCCGAGCTTGCTCCGCCTTCTGCAGCTCGGCGCCAGCCTCTTAATGGTGTTTCAGGGCTGCCTCTGGGACTCCCGACCAGGGGAGGGCATGCCCTACACATCGGCCCGCTGCCGCCCTCCCTCACTGTCTGCAGGAGCTTGGTCCCAGGACCCCCCACCCCCGAGGATGTCAAACCCGCAGATGCTGTGCTGCGTAGGAACCGCACACAGCCCCCTGCAGACGTTCAGCCGTCTCTGGCTGACGGTTCCCGACACAGCCTAAGTACCATAGGGATGGCCGCTCTGTCGTGTTAGGGCACAGCAAGGCAAGTCTGCACATGTTCGGTGCGCATGCAAGCTTTTTCTGAATAGTTATTCCAGTTGGTTGAGTCCATGGATACGGCGGGACAGCACCGTGCTGCCCCGGGCATCTGACGAGCCCGCAGGGCCTGATGGCGGGAGAGACGAGAAGGTCAAGGCCAACGGAGACGAATGTCTGACAAAATGCACAAGGGAAATCCCCGGCTGCTCCCAGAGCCAAGGGCGTGGACCGTACGGCAGGAGGAGGCACCCAGGGCTTGTCCTCCATGAGGACAAGGCCCTTGATGAGAGCGTGCCTCTGGCCACACCAGCCACGAGTGCGGCACGGCCTCTGGGTGTGCTGCGGTCAGATCCTTCAGCTCCCCCCACCCAGTGACAAGCAGGGGGCATTTCCCAGAGGATTGCCGCTGCTCATTGGCCAGAGCCTCACCTGGCTCCAAAGCCTGGGTGTCCCCACCATGTTTTTCCTGCAGGATCCACGTGGGCCTCCTTCCTGGTGCACCCTGGGAAGGCAGGGACCTCCGTGTCCTGCAGCCAGTAGCCGACTGGTTACAGTAAAGCCAGAGAGACTTCACAGGCTCTGGGCCCAACCCGAAGCTGGCAGCCTTTTGTCAGTGCGCAAATGGGTTGGCGCAGCATTAGTGCTGGAACCAGGCCTTGGTGGTGAGGGTTCCCATGCAGCCGTTTGTCCCACGTTTTGAAGGAAATATGCCTGGAGGAGTAGGCCTTTGCACGTTCAAGTGACTTCTCCCCCCCGCCTCTGCCTTGCACAACTTCCTCGGGCACGTGGGGGAGCGGCAGGTCTCCCAGCCTTCTGTCGTCCCCAGAGAAACAGATACGGGTCGGGTCCCTCCCCGGAAGGCTGCATGGAAGGTTCCCCATAGGCATCTGAGGGTCAACCAGGATTCTCCAGTTGCGGTCGCTCCCAGGTGCTCCCCGGGGAGCCATCTGGCCTTTCGCATTGCCGGGCCCCCGTGAGCGGTTGACCACAGCTCGGTCTGGTCCATGCCGTGTCCAGGAGGGCAGGTGACCACCCTGGCATCCCCTTCACTCCACCTCAGCTGCTGGCATCAGAGCGGGGCTCGTTCTCACAGCAGCCCTTCCAGGCTGAGCCTCCCCACGTCTCTGCACAGCCAGGGGGAGCCCGCCTGGGTCCCCCCGTGGCACAGACAGGATGCATGCTGGGACCCAATAAAGCATCTCTCCCCTGAAACCTTTGCACGCCTGCCTTTCTTGGGGTCTTGGTCTTCGGCTGGAACTTAGCATGAGCCGATATTGGGTCCCGACTTGTGCTATCCCAGCGCACCCACAGTGGGAGGAAGACTGTCGTGGTCCTGTGGTGAGAATCCCACGCTGGCCAGGGCTCTGATGTGAGCAGGGACAAAGGTGTTGTGAGGGGGACACAAGCCTGGGGTGAGGGGTAACCAGGGCCACGGCCTCCAGAGCTCGCTGACCGCTGCCCTGAGGGCATCTTTCTCCCGATAGGAGCCCAGCTGGGAGTCTCCAATCAAGACAGGGGACCCGAGGGGCCTGGCCAGGGGCAGCAGAGGGATGGGGGGAGGAGGAGCTGCGATTTCTGCCCACCTGTTGCCAAAGAGGGTGGAGCCTACTAGAAAGGGTTGAGACAGAGAGAAACAGAGAGAGGGGGGCCCCCTGGAAACGGGAAAGGTGGTTCTTACCACAAGTGTCCTCCCAGGGGAGGCCTTGCGGCTGGACCCCATGTGGCCTGGTTGAGTGGCGCTAACTTGGTGATGCCATCCCAAGGCAGGAGCAGGGCCACCATCCCCTGAGTGGAGCTGGTCAGACTTGGGGTGGGGCCGGTGGGGGAGAGGTGCGGCTTAAAATAATGGGCCAAATAGGTGAATCAATGAAAGAATCTGCACACACAGGCCGGCGCTGTGGCACAGCGGGTAAAGCCACCACTTGTGACGCCGGCATCCCTTATGGATGCCAGTTCGAGTCCCGGCTGCTCCACTTCTGATCCAGCTCCCTGCTAATGGCCTGCAAAAGCCGCAGAAGATGGCCCAAGTGCTTGGGCCCCTGGACCCACGTTGGGGGTCCCAGAGGGAGCTCTTGGCCCCTGGCTTTAGCCTGGCCCAGCCCTGGTTGTTGTGGCCAGTCCGGAGTGAACCAGCGGCTGGAAGTTTCTCTCTCTTTCTCGTTCTCTTTTCAAAATAAATAAATTGGGTGGCGCCGCGGCTCACTAGGCTAATCCTCGGCCTTGCGGCGCTGGCACACCAGGTTCTAGTCCCGGTCGGGGCGCCGGATTCTGTCCCGGTTGCCCCTCTTCCAGGCCAGCTCTCTGCTGTGGCCAGGGAGTGCAGTGGAGGATGGCCCAAGTGCTTGAGCTCTGCACCCCATGGGAGACCAGGAGAAGCACCTGGCTCCTGCCATCGGATCAGCACGGTGCGCCTGCCGCAGCGCGCTGGCCGCAGTGGCCATTGGAGGGTGAACCAACGGCAAAGGAAGACCTTTCTGTCTGTCTCTCTCTCTCACTGTCCACTCTGCCTGTCAAAAAAAAAAAAAAAAGAAAGAAAGAAAAAAAAAAGAAAAAAATAAATCTTTTTAAAAAAAAGAACGTGCACACAACAAACGGTGGTGCTGATTTTCAAGTCCAGCTGCCGGGACCCCCATGCTCCCCTCCCTCCCTCCTCCACCCATTCTTGTTCTCAGAAGGCTTGCTGGGCCTCCGTTCAAGCCCCGCCTCCCCAGCCGGTGGACGTGAGCGTGTGTCGCCTCTCCGCTCCTAACTGAGATGCCTCATCTAGTGTTTTTCACCTTTCGCTCATATTTCTAGGTTGCCTGTGATGTTGACAATTCTAATAGTGAACAGGACACAGGCTCATCCTCCCCTCTCCCCCCACGGAGGAGACAGACACTAACTCAGGCACATTGATAACGGTTGATAACAGTTGCTGATAACCACCACCACCACCCCCAACACACACCCATGGCTAACACCTAAGTGTGAAATTCTGGGAAGGAGGAGGCAGGGAGAAGACCTGGTCTGGGTGGGGTGGGGCTCGTTCAGACTCAGGGTCTCCTCTGAGGCTTGGTGTTTGAGCAGAGATCAGAAAGGTGTTGGTTAGAGGCAGCGCAGGGGGACGAGCGAGGCAGGCA